ATAAACTGAGTACATTAATTGCCTCAAGTTAATTTCAGTTTCTCAATCAAAGATTAACAGTACTGAACTTTCGTTTGGCATAATCAAGTTGCCTTTACCTTGTGAGAACTGTTTGTTTAGTGTTGAATATTTTGTTATTTTGAGTATAAATTTGTAGAACTGTTAAATCTTACATGATTTTCACAAGAATGTTGTTCATTTTACTGCAAAATAAACATTAAACACAAAGTTGTAGCACTGACCAATATTCGCTTATATGCTAAATATGGTGAAAAACTGAATGTCATTGAGCAACCTCTAAATATTGTCAGAATTGAATGAAATTTTGCACTCATGCTAACTTTCAGCTAAGGAAAAAATATAGGGGGTGTGCACTTAAATATTAAAAAAAAATTTTTTTTGAACCACCCTAATATATATATATATATATATATATATATATATATATATTATGTTTTATATATATATATCATCATATATCATATAATCATACTAGATGTATATGACGGACCTAGAAAATAAGATTTTCGCTGAACCCGACAGCAAACCACTAATCTACGCTCGTTATGTTGACGACATTTTTGTCGTATGTAATTCAGTAACGGATGTATACAATCTACAAAATATCTTTCAAAATAGATCGCACCTGAATTTCACAGTTGAATTCAGCAACGACAATAAATTACCATTTTTAGATAGCTTGTTCATACCGTGACCGGTCAAAATGTCCCCGGTCAAAATGTCCCGGTCAAAATGTCCCGGTCAAAATGTCCCCGGTCAAAATGTAAAATCAAATCAAGTATCAAGTATCAAGTTCACATATAAAAACAGTTTGTTGTTTTAAAAATGTTTTAAAAATCCAAAAGTTCAGTTTGTTGTTTTAAAAATGTTTTAAAAATCCAAAAGTTCCCATATAAAAACAGTTTGTTGTTTTAAAAATGTTTAAAAAATCCAAAAGTTCACATATAAGTTCACATATAAAAACAGTTTGTTGTTTTCAAACAGTCACAAAGCCTTCGTAGTTCAAATCAAGTATTCAAATGTTAGATAACATTGATGTTCAGCACTCTAGAAATATCAGTCAGTCTTTCTCTGTTCGCATAATCCGAGACCATTGTGAACAGAGCCGAATCAATGTTTTTGTAAGTTTTCTTTTGTTTCCGTTGTTCACGGCCAAGTTCTCCTTGTCTCCGAAGCAGATACATGCTGTGTTGCTCGAGTTGTAGCTTCCTTGATAACATTTTAGCAGTCGGGTGGGCGATACCAACAGAGTTGTTGAACGCATTGTGCCACCCTTCCACTAAGTTATTGCTTCTTGGTTGTTTTAGGAGAACCTGACAGTGCTGGTTCCACATTGTTATTGGAAATCTTGGTGCTGCTCTTCGGTTTCTCCGGAGACGTCCGATAAAGTTGTCTTCGAAATAATCTACAATCGAATTTGGTAGATTGTAATCCGGACTATCGATCAGCGTTTCAAAGGTCTCTATGACGTCGTCAACGGGAACAAATGCCAGGGCGATAAGCTGTTTGACTTTTAGAGCAAACGCGGCATCTGTCTTGTATTGTTCACTGAATCCACTTCCTTGCACATGCCTCCAAATACACTGCCCGAAGTGAAACAGACACCCAACAATTACAACAGTGGGAAATTTCGCCTGGAAGGCATGGATGGCAGCCAGCTCGAAATCAGTGACTAAAGTCTGAGGACTGCCGAGTTCACGAAGCGACGATACAAAATCAAGGAATCGACGGTAGACATCCTCACTTCGTCCTGGTAACAGTGCGTAAACGCAGGGATATGCACAATTTTTGTCCCATCCGTGTACCGTATACAGTTGATGAAACCCTTCAGGCGTCACGCGAAATTTTCCATCAGCAAACCAGCAAGCAGACTTCTGGAGAAATTGAAGATCCTCGTCGGCTGCAAAAATTAGCATATCATCTCCTTCGTCTGTCCGCAGGAACCGATGTCCTTCATGCGTAAGTCGACAAATTTCATCGGTGGCAGCATTCTGTGAAGCTGCACGACGTCTTCTGACGTTTCGCGCCATGTAATATGTAATATCAAAAAATGGTTTGATTTATTAGGTAACAGGAATTACATCAATCAAGGTTTATCAAAGGTACGGGCAGAGCCGTACGCAAACAGCTAGTAACTTATATTATTATATTATTATTATAGCTGTATTTTTCAACATGACTTTTGGGCCATTTCTACCGGGGGACATTTCTACCGGGGGACATTTTGACCGGGACATTTTGACCGGGGACATTTTGACCTAGAACCTGATCATACAATATGACAACTGCTTCACTTCTAAGGTTTACGTTAAACCCTCTAATTCCGGTCAAGTGTTAAATTTCAACTCTGACTGTCCGGATAAATACAAGAACAATGTCGTACATAACCTAATTCATCGTGCATACAAAATCTCTTCCGATAATGAAATATTTAACAACGAACTTATTCGTATCAAACAGCTCCTGGTTAACAACAATTAGCCCAACAAATTAATAGATATGGTAACAAAGCAGTACCTGGATAAAATCAACAACTCAGCACAACCAACAAATACAGATATAACGTTATACTATAAAAACCAAATGCATGACAATTATAAGATAGACGAAACACAGCTGAAAAACATCATAAAATCTAACATCACCACTATCGACCAAAACCTTAAACTTAGACTAATAATATACTACAACTCTACACGAACACCCAGTTTGATTATTAGAAACAACAACAACCAACCTAGCGACAGACTTCAGAGAGCGAATTTAGTGTACCAATTCACATGCCCTTTGCCCCACAGCGTTGTGGAAACATATATTGGCCACACTCGAACCACTCTCTCACGTAGACTAACGATGCATCTACAGAACGGAGCAATCAAGGACCATATGTTGATTGCGCACAGTCAGAAACTTACGCGAGCTACACTGGTGAATGGTACCAAGGTAATTGATCGCGAATCACATCCAATCAGGCTTAGAATAAAAGAAGCTTTATACATACACAAAAACAAGCCATCTCTCAACAAACAAACCAACACCTTCGACCACACCCTTCAACTGTTCTCCCAATACTATAACACCTCCCCACTACGTACGAACTTGGTCCGAGCTGGCGATGGTACAGTACAACGACACAGTTACCAGTCTGGTTTGGATCCAGTAGGTTTGAATCAGGCCAATGGGGCTACTTGTCGACCACGGACCTACGTCGTAACGTCGCTTGCCAATTTGTTTAATTCAGACGTTTAGTCTATCTGTGTGCCCACGCATGTGCCAAACTTTAATATCTAATAGTTTTGTTATTATCTGTGTGGACGAACATGTGTGTTTGTATGGGTTTGTATTTATACGTTTGATTGTAAGATTGCATGTACAATTGCGAAACGATGTTTCCACTATAATGCAGTTATGCGTATGCAAGTGATATTTCCATTCACGATATATTTACTCGATACATTCCACACAATGAAATAACACGATATAAGCTCATAGCTTCTTACTATACACACTGCTTTCTACCGGTTTTAAATTTATAAAATTGTTGTTTTGAATTTAAATTAGACATATTTAATATAATTTAATTGCATAATTTTAATATATAATAACTTAATTTTACCTTATTTAACTTCGTTTTAATTATTTAATTATCAATTTATTTTCATGTTTATTCCTTTATTTAACCTTGTTTTAAAGGTACGTTTCATATGTTTTTTAAATCTTTTAAATTGTGTCACACCATTGTTAAAACCCAATATAATTTCAATATTTACTTTAATATTATTTTAATAATCTTAATTTAATTTCATCTTAAAATATTAAATCCAGCTCCGACGATATATATATATTATCTAATTTACATTCATACATTTTTGAGCTAGTTGGTTGTGGTTTCTTTTGCTCTGTGTTTTTCCTAGTTTAGCGAGTTATTATCAAGTTTTTTTTTATTGAATTTGATTGTGTCAAATAGATAAAATTTTGCTGGATAAAGTGTATTAATTTTTGTTACAGTTAATTATCTGCAATTAATTTTTGTTTTATTTAATTTAGTTTAATCATAATCAAGTTTAATTAAGTTTAGTTTAACTTAATTTAATCATAATTAGCGTTTAATCAACGCAATCAGACAGCTATTGTCGCAATATAGGATTGTTTCCAAGTTGTATAGTTTGTTTGGAGTTCTGTAATGTTTTGTGTTGTGTTAATTTTCTAGACTTATGAATTGAACTAAGAAATTTACTATTGTAAACATTATTTAAAATGGCTAAAAATGGCACTTGTTCGTTGTGTGAAAACTCGTTCAGATTGAAGCTCGCGAATTTCACTGATGATATGAACGGTTACCAGGACTTGCATCAATATTAGATACTATTGCGATACGTGTGCAAAATCCTCCATGA